GAAAATCCTCAGGGAATTTATATATGGACTTTTTGAAAATCGCCGAGCATTTTCTATAAATAATTCCCGACATTACAGTGTAGTCTAAATTCCTGGCACCGTCGCTATCCCTACTGTCTTTGAACTTCGAAGTAAAACATACTTAGAAACGGGAGATGAAAGGATTTCTTTTTTTACAAATATTATATATCGTCATTTATTCGTCTCAAATACTATTGAAGAGTACCAATTTTGATAGCGTTCTTTCGATATTACAAACACTTTTGTTATATTCATGAGAAGAAATCAAGATTCTGACAAATGGTTAATTTATTTATTTTATTGCAGTAAATGTGTCTGTTTTGACAAAAAGTAAAAACTTTTATCTTCATGTGGTATTCTTGATAACAGAAATTGTTTTTCGTGAGAAAAGAATGCATTAACAAACGATGACTGGAGGACGCATTCTTTCGCTTTCAAAACGTTAGGATAACGCGCTTTCTAGTGACATCTAAATGATAGTGGAAACGGTTTCATTTTCACTAAACATGTGTGTTAGCAATGCATTCCATGAATAAACGTAGACGAAGCCGACTATGCGATAAAACGATTAATCATGCATGAAATTAACGAACTGGCGCTTGGAATTATTTATCTTATTTTCGTAACTCCACAAGAGAAACTGAAAATCTTAAATTCAATGTTTCTAATAACTTCTCTCAACTCGGTTCAAGATACTGACGTCAAAATTTTCAGCGCGATCGACTAGAATTTTATGAATGGCGTATGTAACTAGATGAGAAACTAGCTTTCTAGAAAATCACACTCTTAACTTCGCCAAACCAATATGAGGCAAAACAAATCAGCTTTCTTTTTCGACGTTCTATCTTTGGGATAAATGTCACATCAACATGACTTTTTTCCCCCATTTTGTAATAAGGTGAGGATAAGAGGCGGGGACATCCTCATACGCTGTGAACTGGAAAATAAGTCATAGGAAATAAAAACCGATTTTCAGTTTGTCTATATACGAATTCAGCAGCGATTTTCTACTTTCTTGAAAACGGGATTTTCAAGAATTTTACCTTTTTCATAAAATGTGCCTAGATTTTCTGGGAAATCAATTCAAGTTTTTCAGAAAATCAAAAGCGATACTCTAGAAGAAAACGATATTGCATAAAATCAACGACGCTTTTTAAACTTGAAAATCCCCGCCGAATTCGTATGTAGACAAAGTGAAAACCAAAAGTGGAAAATATTTTAAAGAAATTGAATCTAGGCGATTTTTACAATTGTTCAGCGTCCTTCTCGTTTAATTTTTTTTTCGTTTTTTTCTTTACATGGAGTCCAAAAAAGATTAACTGGGGATAGTAAAACGGCACAGGTAACCGAATAAGAAATAATTGGTTCTGTTTCTTCAATTTTCTACTAGAGAAAAACACGTACGGTGCGTGGAATGCAAAAGTTGAGGAAAATTCTTTTTTGAACCTATTATACATCATTTTTCAAGTTTCCAAAAATTGTTTTCATGTCGAAAAATCGATAAAACTAGGAACCGCGGGAAAAATCGAAAAATGACTGAGCCTGTATACTTGCGAAAATTCAAATTTTCGCCCTGTTTTTTCTTTCAGAGTTTATGAACTATTTTTTTCTGATTCAGCACTGAACACCGATAAAGTAAACAATTAAACACACACAAGAAACGGTCGTCCTCACATGACAGTCAATCAGATTCTTTCTTTCAGCCTGTCGCACACAAGCGACAGCTGTTTGTATTTTAGGGAAAAAAATTTCGGGATTTAACGGGATTGTAATTAAGCCTACGCGACGGGATCGGGATAGGGATTGGCGAAAAGAAGTTTTGGAATCGAGACCGGGTTTCAATCCTACGGGATGGAATCGAGACGAAAAAGCTCGATCCCGCAGGGCTCTAATTCTAAGAGACATTTTTTAAAATGTACGGCAATATTTAATTCAAGTTTATAATTTATTTATCGATGTTTCGAAAAAACAATTTTCATTATCGAGAGTATTTGTATTAACGCTTATAATGAAAATTGTTTTTTCGAAACATCGATAAATAAATTATAAACTTGAATTAAATATTGCCGTACATTTTAAAAAATGCGTCTTAGAATAAGACCCTATAAGTCGTTTAAGGATTAGCTCCATACATAGGTCTTAAAATAAGCCTAAGAATAAATGAATTATAAAATTAAATATGAATTTTAAGACAGCTGCTGGTACTATCATGACAATTTTAAAGTTTGTACCCATTAACAAATTCAATAAAGATTTGTTGACAACAAAATGTCTAAATTTTTTGTTGGAAATATGTTAACCGGAAAATTCATTTGAATCCTTGCATAATGACAAGCATGTTAAAAACAGATTTAACTTATGATAAAAGGAAAACGATATGTCTCATTTCATTCCTGTACAGTAGGAAAGAAGACATAATCAACAGTAGAAAACTGGCCTGAATATGTTTCGTATATATAGTAGCCGACGTGCTAGTTGTCGTGGAGGATACTGCTGCATTAGTCGGTGATGGAGGACTGCCAGGACCTGCGCCGCTACCACCATTGGCGTTATTATCAACCACCAGAGACGGTGTGCTAGTGGAATCGACACGCACAGTGAATGCACCAATGACTCCTGATGAAAGTCCTGCTGTTGAGTTGACATATGACAGTGTCACTAGTGAATATGATCCATTTTGACCATTGTATACTCGATCAGTGGTGATTAGCGTTCGAGTAATGTTATGAGTGCTATATGGTGGGAGTAAAGCAACTTGATCTGTCATTGTTTCATTGAAAAACATTTGACCGGTATGCGAGACATGACCTGCTGAATAGCCACCACTGCTTATTGTACCGCCAAAATGAACTTTGATGTGGATATGCGTGGCCCGACCATTGTACCAGCCCGGGTAGAGTGTATCAAACACTACTATACCACTTGAATTTGTCAACTGTATGCCACGGAGGTACGTCGTAGTGCTAGCTGTACTGCTTTCGAAATGAGAATACACGCCAATGGGATCGCAGTGCCAAATATCTACAGCTGCATTTATAATAGCTGAACAGTTATTACTATCAATAACGGTGATAATGAGGCGAAACGGTACACCCACTTTTGTTTCACTAAAGATATCACCTGGATGTTATGACAGTGAATGAAAGTTTTCTTAAAATAAGCCCACTTACGTTATGTTTTCTCTGTTCAATGTTGTATTCCAGTAGTATGGACCCTCTTCTTCTTCTGGTGTGAGTAGACAAGATGAGAGCACCGTTCGCTTACATCGGTCACCTAAAAAAGTGGCTATCGATAACAACTGTGATTCGAATGCACCTGTTCTTATTGCACATACCAACTGATTGACAGGCTGCTAACACCGAAAGATATGTACACAATTTTAAGTACGAGATCTTCATCGTTATAAATATTGTTTAAATTAATGGTTTTTTACCACTCTACTTGCTATTCATATATATAAATAACTAAGTCATCATTAAAAACAGTCAAGGTGTAAAAGGAAAAAAAATGTCCGTTCTGTTATAGAGTTCACACCCTGTATTGATGTATAATGAATGAAGAAAAAAAAGTACATACCGTTTATGTAGAGATGAATAAACAGCAAGAATAACATTTCCTTTTCTTTCCATTTTCTCTTAGGCGAAAGACTATGTAGTAGTTTTATACACGCAGTCTGTCTCCAATATTCCTTGATGACTCATTTCCTACTGTCTTTGAACTTCAAAGTAAAACATTCTTAGAAAAGTGAGACGTGGAAGGATCTCATGTCAACAACTTTTCCTCAAACAAGTTTCCGCTGTAATTGAACGAAAGAGAGCCTTTTTAATTTGCGCTAAGTTGAATAAAGTTGTTTCTGAACAGTTTTTGGTAACTGAAGCTAAATTTAGCGATGTAATAAGATGTACATTTTACGTCAGTGTTTATTTAAACTCTTTGAATCATATATCATTCGAAAGAGTAACGAAAACTGAACAAATAACTCATTTTGTCTGTGTGAAGTTTGAAAATCGAAGTTAAACAGTTTTAATTGCCGAAAAATATCAAAATGTCGAAACATAATATTTTCGAATAAAAACGAATTTTTGAGCAACTTATGGTTTGCCAGAAGATTTCTATCGCGCATCTTATAGACCAAACAATTCTGTAAACGGCTGGTGTTACCGAAATTGCCTTCCAGTTAACTTTCGGTAAAATTCGGCGGTTTGCATTTTGACGCTAAAATATGAATTTTCACGATGGTTTTCGATGGTTCTTAAAACAGCTTAAAAGCTGCCTGTGTCCAGTAAGTTTACCGTGTGTGACTGTTAGAGTTCCATAATCAGTTAAATTGGCTTTTTGTTCATACAGAATATCCCGATTGCAAATTTTATGATTATTTGCGAAGAAAATTGTGCTCGAACGCCAAAACTAAATAATACAGTATACTCTGTTCTCTTTTTGCATATCCCCAGGGAATACTACAGAAATACTACAGAACAAAAACACGGTTTTGTTCAAAATCTGAGAAAAGTAAAACTTATTTTGTGCGATAGAAATTTCATATGAAATTTTTTGAATACACACGTATCATATGATCGACCTTTTGGAGCTCTACAAAATGGCTCAAGTAATTTTTTTATATCTCAGCATCGACATACGTAAATAGAAAAAAACTGAATTTTGTGCTTGAAAGTTGTTGATGTTGTACACTTTCGGTATTCTCACAATAACCTTTTTACTTTTAGCTCTAAAGCTAAGGACTGAAGTATTGGAAAAGATCAGTACAAGTATTGATGCTTCATATAATTTGTGATTCTGATGCATACAGTGATAGCTATTATTGAAATAAAAAAACAAAACCTTCACTCTCACATTAAGGTAATGTAAACGGAGACACTACACCGACATGTATTACGAAGTTGCTTTCAAAGTGCTGTATTTTAATTTTAAAAAATAACATGGACTTTAGTATATGGGTATTATCTATGGTATCTATAACTGAAACTGAAAGTTTTAAAATACCTAGTCTTGTAGTGCGCAATTTTCTGTACTAGATACTCCCTCTTTCAAATAATGCGACGGCTCGTCTAACCGGTTGAAAACGAAACAATTTGCTCCGTCAGACCTTATTCTGAGAAAAAACCGTTTTTCCTGCACGATTTGTGGTTCAAAAGACCTTTTCTTCTTTTTCTTTGCAAAATTTCTCTATCCTTACCGAGCTTTAAGGAACGTAGATATAATCTTTAGGACATCTTCATAAAAGCATTACGGAACAGGTTCACCAAACGCTATAACTTCACGTTTGCTACGAGTGCATAACGGATCACTCTTTAAAACCAGTAACATTGTCTATAGTTTATTCCCTGTAGAGTGACGTTGAAGCCGCTCAGGATAAGATTTTTGTAAGACAAGAACAACACCAACTTTATACTTTTCTGATTCACATATGAGAGGAAAATTCTCGATCCGATTCTGACGATCAGTGTATGTTTTGTTACTGATAGCTGTACAAACTATTTCTAATTTTTTCTTCGACAATTTTTAATAGGATAGTATACAAAAATATCAAGACTCTGGTTTCTCTACTGGTACTGAGCCTGCTCTGTAACATAACGTAATGTTCATAGTCTCGTTCATCGGGAGTCGTAAATCCTGAAAGAAGATTTCAATCTATATTTCTTACTCTTCTCTATAAAAACATTATACCCTTAGTCATCCACAAGAGAGTAACCTTACTTTTTTTTTCTCGGTCACTGTAATGTCTTTCTTTTCTTTTTGTTAAAATATACCTTGTGGAATAAAAACTATGTATCTGCATTAATTTCAAAAAAATATTACCTTACAGGATATAATTTTCAAAACAAATCAGTTTTCGCCATATATACTTCTGTTTGAATTTCAGAACCGAACCTTTTGACGACGTGTGTGTTAGAAGAGCTTATTAGTGAATCGTTACTTTTCCATTATTATTGAGTTTCGTAATGATCTACTCGTGGAAATGGTCGAAAAAATCCTAGGTTGCCTTTCACATTTTATAATGGAAATCAATTCAAAAACATTATGGTCTTTTTTCTGATGTAACCGCTGCATATTCGATAGATTCTTCTACTGTTTCCACTTTCAGCATTGCATAATATTCAAATAACCTCAGTGATTCTATTCAAGCATTATATAGTGAAAGAAAGAATTTTCTTTCGAGAGATAAAATATAAGAATCTCTCGTTTTTTTCCTATTAAAAGACGCCACAAGCCTACTGATTTTTACTATTCACAAGAAGATACAAATGCAGTTTTTGTGTGTATGTATCATGTGGCACGTTTATCGAGTTTTTGTAAGTAAAAACTGGTGAAAAACTTTTATCCATGCATAAAAAAAGACTCTTGATAATAGGAAAGCGAGAACGAGGCAGTTTTTGTGGAGTTTGCCGAAAATGATGTGCACCGTTTTCACATTGCTGACCTACCAATTCCAGCTAATTATAAAGATAACTTTATGGTGATGGCTGGAGATTATAAAACAATAACTGTTTGTAAAGATTTGTGTAAGCCATAAATGCGACAAAAAATGCATATATATGTGTGTGTGTATCAATAAAGATATAACGATAATATGAGCAGTTTTACGAACCTTAATTATTGGTAGGTATTAAACAGTTGTTAGATTTAAGGATAACCGTCTCAGAAATTAGTCTAGGGCTGTCATGGCTCGCAGCAAAATGTCTCTAACTTTGGACAGCCAACAATTTCGACCTTGTGCAGATTTGTAGAGCTTGAGTTTCCAATTCTAAACAACTGCTCGCAGTTCATTCCATTTCATAAATCGGCATTATCTCTAGAAAAATGATTATGGCTGACTGTCTGATCATATTGAATTTTAAATGGTTAGATGCGGTCAGTTTTACTCTTTCGAATAAGAAACACTTAACTCTCCAGCTGCTTGCGTCTCCAAGTTATTCAAAAAGTAATTAGTCGTCTTCTGTTTTGAAAGGAACAACGGATGTGAGGATGTTACTATTTGGTTCTAGTGCACCATCCTTTTTCTTAACATTCTGTCAAGCCCTTTGACGCTTAAATGTATTATAATCCTGATTCGGACACAGTCGCATCGAAAAGAGGTGAGAAGCCAACGGTTTCTACTGTCTGAAAAGAACAACTGAAAAAAAATAGGCAACGAATTAGGTAAACAAAGGAAGATTCGCTACCTTTCAGATTTGAGAGTTCAACAATGAGTGCCCGTCCATCGGCTCTACCTTCTCGCTTCGAAGATCTTCCAAGCGAACTATTTCATGACTTCAAGGCCTATTTAACTGCCGATAACTTGTACAAGGCTTTCTCTGGACTCAACTCCCGTTTTAACAACCTCCACGTTGAAATTAGTTCACCTGTCGACAGTCAACGTGTAACGACGATGTTCTTCGGCTGCCGCATCGTCAGCGCTAGTGTTCCTCGCGATAGCAGGGCCACAGCCATAACAACGACATATTCCCGTCTTTGCTTGCTCATTCTTCACCGTCCGATTCGACTGACACCAGGCAAACTATCAGCTCTCGAACGGATAACACTCGATCTGTCAGAAATGCGATTGAAGCATGCCGTCCCTCTGTGTCAGTTGATCTTCTCCGATCGTCTTCCTTCTCTCCGGTTCCTTCGCCTCGCACATAGAAAGGTTCGTGCTCTCGGCCACTGGAGGCCGCTGACCACATCCATCCGTCAACAATGTCCAACATTGGCTCAGTTTACCTTCGATATTCGCCTTAAAATAAATAGTTTATTCTGATCTTCTTCGTGATAATTTCGAACGTGGCCATTTCGATACTACTTATCGTGCTGAGATTAAATATATTGTTGATACTGCTGCTTTTGAATAAATAATGCTTATCTTGCTTTACTTTTACATCATATATTTCTATGATGGCTGCGATTATTGTGATTGTTATTATGTTACTATTTTCGCTTTCCATTCTTCTTTCTTCACTAGCTGCTTCTCTCTCTTAAACATTGTGGGTGTGTTAGTGGTTGTACTATTGTCTTTTCCTTCTTTAGTATGGTTTTATAGCTGTAATGAACTGCGCCATAGTACTGCACCGACGCAATGACCACACGGTCAATTCTGGGCTCTTCTATGATTACTTTTAGTTAACAAAAATAGATTAAACTAGAACAGGTATGAGTTTATAATGCGATTATTCATCTGTAACCGGGATAGAGTCTAAACAGTAGGATACAAATACATACCAAAGATAAAAAAGTGTGCATTTATAATGCCAAGTCACTCAGCAACTCATATTATTTCACTTGACAACTAGAGAAGAAAATTGCATAGAAGTTTACGATATATGGAGAGTTTAAAGACAACGAAAATGAAGATCACAGAGAATTCTGTTGTCTTTTAACAATTGCTGTACAATATTTTCTATCA